TTGTGGTGGGGGAGGGTGGTTTTGAGTCTGTTTTTCGTGTATCATTTCCATTTTTCATTATTATAATGTACATATTCCATTCTGGCAAACTGCCACTAAACGTTTCTATATGGGGGAAAAAAAAAGAAATTATGATCTTATGGAATAAATTATATTAATGAGCAGCAGAAATCTTTTTGATAAACTATATTTGTTACACTTCTATTGTGAATAAAATAATCTTTTAATATAAAATTGTAGTGTAGTTTGACTTGGAGAGTTCTTGGATTATGTGCAAAAGTATGTATACCCTTACGACAAAATGAAGCCGGTGAAATTTAAGTTATATCAACAAGTCGCTGTGTTCTCTTCTTCACAAGTGTTCATTAGTATGAAGTTTAAAAAAAAAAAAGGTTCAGTAGCATTAACATTAGCATTGGGAGGAAAAAATGCTCAGAAGTTTTTCTTTCCCTTTTTGATCAAGGTGCTTCAAGGCAGAATTTTAAATGTCAATTTTAAATGTTTTTTAATGTTGGGTTGGCTTTGTTTTTAGACTGTTAGTTTTGCAAGATACATCCACGTTTAATTTTTATATTTTTTTTTGAGAGAGTGCTTTTACAGGAAAATAATCAACACCAGGATAGTGTGATGAAGCGGTGTTGCGGTTACCAACTCAGAGTTGATTATTTTCCTATATCAGCATGTCCCAAAGTGTTTTATTCCTCTTGTACTACAGAAATTTTCCGACACTAACAATTTTTAATTAATTCAAGAATGAAAAATCATTGGTCCAGTAGTGTATGGTAGGATATTAATATTTTTTTGGGGGGGGAGGGGCGAAAGTTCACAAATGTACATCTTTTTTCCAGTTTTTAATGATGATTTTGCCTTATGTTTTAGATAGATGCATTTGCAAGATACACCCATATTTCATTTTTAACATCTTAGATCTTTTTTTTCCTTGTGAACAAAAACAACAGTAACCATTGAAATCCTATGAGGAATGCAAACTTACTTTCTTTCATCAGATTAGACAGTTAAATTTTTTTTTTCAGTCATAGTCATTAAGCTGACACTCCTAAAATTTATGACTTTTTTCCGTATGCTGCAGTTTTGTATGTATAGCATACATGTGGCAGCACAGATGTTGAGTATCCCTTATTAAACACAGACGATTTGCTTACATTGCTTACATTATGACAGTCTGATGTTTCTGAACAAAGAGGCACGGAAACCCACCTCGGCACATCGCTGTGCTTATTCGGTTATTGTCTGCTTCCTATATCAGAGAGCTGATAAAAGCTGTACTGCAGTTCATCACCTGCAGATCTTTATGCTAACGTTATGACATGCGCATATATTCATACTTGTTAAATACATCACTAGTGATGTTTGTCAACAATCCACTGCGTCAGTAGTGCATGTGTGAAGTTAAGACCGAAAAATGATTAAAAAAAAATTTGTATTAGGGGTTGATTATGTGTAGTGTCCACTAAAAGTCCCGGTGAATGAGCTGTTACTATAGAAACGGTCATTTTGATATTAGAACGAGCTCTACACCCGGAACTATGGTCAGAGCTGCTGGTATGGAAAATGAATCAACACCTTCAGTGCTGTGGTGTAACAACCTTTAACATGGTAAAGCACAAACCCAATATTTTGTCTTGTTTAATAAAATCAATTTGTTTCGCAGATTTCCCTATATGCACATTGTTCTGTGTGAAACGTTGCCTTGCTAAATCTGTTTCCAGGCACGTATAATGGCAGCCAAGGGAACTGAATGTCCTAAAAGGAAGGCAGAGCCATGCATAAATCTGCCCTCGCCGAAATATAAAGCTATCAGTATGCTAATCTCCTCCTCTAGCAGCCAGATCGCAGCCTGTCTGATGTACTTCTCATTAATTCTATCACCTTACCTACAGCTACAGATGAATTTCTCTGACACAGCGAACGGTGTATGATACGTCACTCACCCGTACAGCAAGGTAACAGAATACGAGGTTCCACTGAATACTGCGAATCATTTCGCATATGAAGGGTTTCCGAACGCCAGTGGCTTAGAATTTGTCTTTTGAAATTCAAGCGTACACTAGTCATTAGATTTTACTAGAAAAAGGCTGCAAATGGATTACTTCAGGCTCAGTCTGTTAATGAGTGTGGTCCAAAAAAACGAGTGTATTCACAGTAAAATGAATGTCTTTAGTACTGGAGGTTCAGAAGGGACCAAATAAAAGACTGTGGTTGGTTGTGATAGTGTTCCTGTGCACAGGATATTTGGAGATTTATGCAAAAGCTGTGGAAGTATTCTAACATTATACAAGTACAAATTCATGGGAACTAAATGAAGTTTGAGAGGACCTCGGAACTTCTTATAATCAGAGTGTCACTGGTGATATTTTTTTAAAGAAAGTTAAAGGCCTTGGGGTCAGAACTGATATTTTAAATATATTTCATTAAGCATTCATGGAGAGTATAATTTCTTTCTCTTGCATTAAAAAAAAAAA